ACTACTACTACGTACGTACGTTAACGTTAACGTTAAGTACGTACGTACGTTAGTTAGTTAGTTTGTTTGTTTTGTTTTGTTTGTTGTGTAGGTCGGTCGTCGTCTCTCTCTCTCTCTCTCTCTCTCTCTCTCTCTCTCTCTCTCTCTCTCTCTCTCCCCATTGTTTGGGTTTTCTTTCTCTATCAACAAAACTAATCTCCTTCTTTTGGAATTTTCTCTTTTTTAGGGGGAAAATGGAATCCCTTGCAGGATATATTTACCTTCATTAAATGGAAAAATAATCTATCTGACTCTCTCTCTCTCTCTCTGCTAGGAAATTATGTTTCTTTTAATGGAAAAATGAACATCTCTTTCTCTCTGTGATAGAAAAATCTGTTTCTTTAAATGGAAAAATGAGCATCTGTCTCTCTGTCTCCATATTTAGTTTTGGGTGTGGTTCGTATAAGGCTGGGGCCCTAAACAATCAAAGCGAGGCGTACCTTGAAATAGGTTGGATAGATGTTATTTCAGTACTTAAAATCGTGGCCTAAAAATTTATTTTAATCTCTAAATGCAAATCTAATCTTTGTGATGGCTTAAAAATTTATTTTAATCTCTAAATGCATAAATTAAACTTTCAATACAAAAAAAAATAGTGTAGGTCAAGCAGATCTTTAAACACTCGATAATTTTGAAGATCGATGGTCCAAAAAACGCATTATAAGATACGTCATTTACAAGACTTGAAATATATATATATATTCTCTTGTTCACACATCTTGAGGTTGAGATGATCGATTTGAGGATTTTTTTTAGAGTCAAAATAATCTCTTCTAATGAATTTTTGAGGTGCGTATTAATTTGATTATTTAGAGCCTCGCCCTTATATAAACTATTTCCTTCAATATTTGGCCCCTTTGTTATCTTTTCTAAATAAAGTTAGTTTATACTCTCTCTCCACTTCCTGGGCTTAAAGAAAGGAAATGAGCAGCTTTCTCTTCCTTCCTCCCCCTTTTTTTGGTTCAGAGCCATTAAAGCCAGCTTAATTCAAAAGCAAAGCCACTGCGTTTTCTCTCACAATACCATTTCCTTCATTTAATTTGTCTTTGTACCATACTCTTTAACCAGAGACCCCCCCATTAAGACAAAAACTAAATGATCCAATAATGGAACATTGGTTTTATTATTTTTATGGGTGGGTATATGTGTACTACGGTGTACCATAGTCCTATGGATCTCTAACCGCACTTTCCTTACGAAGGACGGTGGAGATTCAACACTAGTTGGCGCACTCTGACACTCTCACCTCCGTCCAGCTAATATCCTTATGTGCTCCACTTGGCCCTTTTGACATGTACTCCTGTGGATTAGGATTAGGTGGTGTATGATGGCTATGGTGATAATGGGTTGGATGGTGATTGATGGAGAGCGACTCCGACCAAACATGTCATTAATCAGCTTATACCTCCCACTCTCTTTGCTTCACTATTCAACGATTGATAGGTGATAAGCCCTATGGCCATGTTCTTATCATGAACATGGGGATCACATAATACTTTTGCTCAGGATAATTGGAAAATTCTAGTATAATTATTAGTGTGTTTGTACATGGTACACCATAGATATACCTACCTTCCAGTTCCCGGTAATAGACGGTGGCGATTAGTCGAATTATAGTCAATCTTTATAGTCCATCATTGGAAACAAATGGTGGATGCTCTTTAGTATACCATATTCCAGGCATCCCTGGTGTTTACTACACCTTCTGTTGTTTTAATTGTTTCATGATTTTGCGTTGTTATTGTTAGTAGTAATTCTTCTTTTTCTCATTCATATAGAGTGAGGACCTAGCAGAGCTGGAATGGCTGTCAACTTTCGTAGAGGAATCCTTCTCCCTGCCATCCTTGCCGGAATCCAGTGACCCCCTTGCAGGAAAACCCAATTCAAGGCCAGAGCCCTCCCTTCCAAGTAGGGCTCGAAGCAAACGTTCGAGGATCGCATCCACTTGGGCCTCCCGGATCATGACAGTCTCTTCTCCCTCTCCAGATTCAGAATTCCCTGTGTCTTTAAAATCCGTGACTGGAACCAAGCCTAGCAAGAGGACATCATTTTCCGGCGAGTTTTCCGGGAGGAAGTGCACGCATTGCTTGACTGAGAAGACTCCTCAGTGGAGGTGTGGACCCATGGGGCCCAAGACCCTGTGTAATGCTTGCGGGGTCCGCTATAAGTCTGGGAGACTGGTACCGGAGTACCGACCCGCCGCAAGCCCGACTTTTGTACTCACTCAGCATTCGAATTCGCATCGAAAAGTGATGGAGCTTCGAAGACAGAAGGAGTTGAGGGAAGGAGAGATGTTCATCCATGAGAGGCAAGATTTCAAGGTTTTCTGATTTGATACATGGTAATTGTGAGCCTGGCTCGTGCTAAAGACCATGTTCTCTATGGGGGATCACCAAATATCGTCACAATTATTGGAAGGACTGATTTTATCAAAAAAAAAAAACTTTATACATTTAGTTGGGTGGACCCTCTAATTTAATGGAGTAGCAACACCCCTTTTGTGAGTTAGGGCTTTAGGAGGTTATAGGGGGTGTATTGTTACTTGCAAGTTGCAACATTTCCTTGATTTAAATTTATTTTTTCAAAAGGAAGTTAAGCTTTGGAGGTGATCTTGAAATGAGAGTCCTCCCCTCATTAATAGTAGTAGTAAGGACTTCAATAATGATAACAAGTTGTAACAATAAATTACTATTACTTGCATTTCAGTTTTCTACTATTTTGTCAAAGAGTGTCCATAAAAATGTGAGATGGAGTTTCAAGATTAATATTGGGGTTTCTGCGGAAAATTGTATATTACAAGATCATTTATACTTGGTACACGAAGATAAAAATTGCTTTTCGCCTCTCTTGATTTACATCCAACAACTAAATATGATCATAACTTCTTATCTAGCTTGTTGGATAAAATTCAGTCAAAGGAAAATGGTTTCAGTGGGCTTTAGCCCTATCAAAATAAGTAAAGCTTTGCCTCGTAACTCATCAAAAATTACAATTCAAGTATTAAAAAACCTTTAAATCGATCGTCTTGTCTTAAATATTATGGTTGTGAAAAGAAAATAGGATCTAAAAATAATGTATATTGTAACAAATTATCTAGATCACTCATTTCGCCCTAAAAGTAAGTATTCATAGATCTGTAAGATCTGTAATATTGTTGAGTTTTAGATCACTCATTTCGCCCTAAAAGTAAGTATTCATAGATCTGTAATATTGTTGAGTTTCGAATTTCATTGTCGGTGTTGGAAATTGATTTTAAAGCTCTCATGGAGATTTCCATCGACAAAAATGCTTTCCAGATGAGAATTTGAGATTGGGCTTTATGTTTTTATAAAACCTAGGCCTTAGATAAACCTCATCCTTCAGTACAAATATTATATGGCCCTGCAGATGCATTAAAGAAAAAAGGTTATACAACTCCCGCTGGAGCACATAGATTTAAGAGTATGTATAAGGTAAAATCATCCTGGGTTCTCTCACAGGAAAGAGCTCAATTTTCATAAACTATTTATTGCGTCCTCTTTTGGAATAGAATATATATATATATAAATATATTTATGTGGTTCATATGATAACGTATAACGGGAAACCTATCTCTTGAGCGGTGGGGATATGTTTTGTATGATGCGCCTGGTGCTCCACGTGATCCCAGATATGGATGAGAGAGAGAGAGAGAGAGAGAGAGAGGGAGGGAGAGAGTAGGTTCGGTTTCTTCGTTCGTTTGGTTACGTTTAGGTACTTACTTACTTACTTCCTCGAGAAGAAAGAAAGAACGGTAC